GCTGCCCCAGCCCCCCCCTTTCCCCCGCCCCGTTACTGCGCCGTTCTCGACCGGCAGCAATACTGGATGGAGATTTGCAGCATTCCTAGCAAAACAAATGCACGGCAGGAAGCACGTTAGCTGACAGATGCCGACTCGCAGCACCACCACACACACAGTGTCCGTTATGCTGCTGTCTCTACTAAAGCCCTCACGCCACACCGCTCCACCAGCCTGCTCTAACCCTCCTGCTGGAGTCACCATGGCCGCCGCGCCTGCTTTGCACACCAGCGGTCAGTCCGTAACCCAGGCTTTCCACCCTCAGCTTGTCGTATGGACTCACTCCAAATCCAGCTCTACAGCAGCAGGGGAGCTATGAGCAGCGTGCAGAGGAAACGGCCAACTCCATGTCAGGTCTCCTAAAAAGAAACTTCCTAATACAAGCACCTGGATCCTCATTTGTCCCAATGTACCACTTCACCTTCTCCAAACAGCTCCTGCAGTTTTCTGCCATCACAGTAACAGATCCTTCAGCCGTGTCATTTCTTTAATTCAACATCATCTGCAGCATGCCGACAAGATCCAGAATCTATTCATATGCCAAGGGAGAATTTTCCCTCATGCTTTTATAAGCTGTGCTTCGTTTTCACATTCATCTTGCACGCTGGATTTACCCTACCATTGACAAATGCTCAGCCAGCTCCAGAGCCAGCTGCCTTAAGCCCCCATCGCTGCCCACTTGCCCGCCAGCTCACTCAGCTCCTCCTGGCTGGGGCACGGCAGCAGAACTCCGGCAAGAGGATGGGCTTTAGATCCTATTTAGCTGAGAGATGCTTTTAAGAACAGTCACTGGGACTCTGAATGCCGGTCATCATTCACAGCTGTCTGATCAGAGTCCCATCACAACAGCATCCTGCACAGAGAAGTAACTGTGCTGCCTACAATTATGGAGGTGTGCCCCGGGGATAAATGTGATCCCGGGAGAGGAAGGGATCCATCTCTTCTTCAAACTGCCTGCAAGCCAAAAAGAGCGAGGGGAGCTCATCACTCAAACATTAAAGGAAAACACATGCACAGTGCAAACATAGCCAGTTACCCTGCAGTTTGCTCCCAGGATCACACAGGGAGGATGAGCTAAGTCTCCTGAGACTTTGCTGTTGTGCTTATAGAAATGGAGAGCTAATTAGCACAATGATTACAGTGGTGGCTTGGACAGCCATTGAGGAAACAGCCACCGGGGGTGATCCCTACCACACTGGATTCATTTATTAACCCTGATGAGCCACCTGCCTCAAGCTGCTGAAGGTCAGAGGTGGAAAGTTGAAATCATGTATGGAGTGAGATCCAACAGATCCATTAGAGAGGCAGATAACAGAAACCCAGGGGTTGGCAAATGAATGAAGAATGAATTGAATTCCAGCCCTTGTTGCGTTGGATTGACTGCACTGAAGAGCCCACCCCAGTGTACCACTGAAGCAGTTACTCAAGCTCTGCCTGAATTAACACACACCGATGACCAGGAGGAACCTCAGGAGCAGGAAGACTGTCACACAGGGCCGGAGCAGCGATGGGCCCTGTCAGCAGCCACCCCGTTGCTGTGATCTTGCAGCACGTCCCTCCCCAGGGAAGTCAGCCGGCGGGCACTGCTCCACACCGAGGCACGGGAAGGGCAGCTCTCCATCCAAAATTCCAGATACTGCTGCAGTGCTGATAACTACGGAGCTATTCCAGGCCTTTGCATCAGCACAGGTCTTGCTTCATGCTCCAAGCAAGGTAGGACTCAACTCACCAGTACCTCTAGTAGCACAGAGGCCCCCAGCCCTCAACCGATAAAATACCAGGTCAGTAGCTGCTGCTTTTAGCCCCTACTTTATACAGGCCCCAAAAAGAGTGATCTCGGGTCTCCCAAACCCACTGCAGAAACACACAGTGGCACAGCCCTAGGTCTGCAGCTCTGCCGCTTCGCTTATTTGACTCCTGAGGTTCCCCAAGACAGTCAAAGCAGCAATTTGTGCCATCCAGTATTCAGCTCAGTTGTCATCTGCTGCTGCTTTGTAATATCTCAGAGTACTTTCTGTAGGTGCTAAGGCCTGTCAGCAAGCACTTCTCCTGCCTCCCCTCCAACTGCCAGGTCTCAAGGCACCATCACTCCCAGTAAACAAGGCTCTTGTTAGTTCCCAGAATGCAACACAGCCTTTCCCAATAGAGAAAATACTTTTTTTTTTTTTTAAAGAGGTCATAAAAAACTTACTTCAAAGAACTCAAAGCATCTGTCCTGTAATACCTGGGTGACATTGAAAGGCCTGCAGGCAGCTCCACCTATCAGAGAGCAGACAGCCTATCATCATTGCTCTAACAGTAAACGCTCACCAAGCATGGCAAACAAATAAATGCATCCAACACAACTTGAAACAAGACACACCTAAATACACTCCCATAAAAGGGCAAGAAAGCAAGCTGCACAGTCCAGCACCAGCTGATCCAGCACAAAGTGACCAGAGTGAATCACAGCCTCGGGCTACCCCAACAGCCTGCACTAACATGGCAGCTCCGGACTCTAGTGGGGAAGAGATGAGCTCTTTCCTCCATTCTCCACACCATGCCACATGCAGCAGAGATGTGGTGGCTGCTGCATGAACATTTATCCAGTGTCTCTTGCAGGGAATCAGCAATGGGCTGAGCAGCACATCCTCACAGGCTGGTTTCATTCTGCTGGCTTCCTGCTGGACCTTCCACACCTGGCAGCTTGGGACCCAAGTGGGAATGCTGGAGATACAGTTTCTATCCCAGCTGCATCACCAGCTTGCTTCGAGCTCAGTTTCCTCACCTGCAGTATGTGGTGACATGGCTTGGCTATTTCACTTTGGAGTCTGCCTGTGAGGTCTTTCTTGGAGAAGGGAAGGGAGGTGGAGGACAGACTTCTAAATCTCAACATGAAAAAAAAATCGTAAGAGAATTCAACCAGGTTTTTTTTGAACGCTTGCTTAGATAATCTTTTGGATTCATAAAAGACATGGAGAAGCACTTGCATGTTTTAAGTAAACAACATATTTGTGAAAAAGGAGAACACTTCAGATTACACATTGAAAAGCCTGAGACAAGCACCGATGACCCACATCACTGTCTGCATGATGACTAGTGCTAATCAGTCAGACAAGGAGAAGTTCTAATCCCTCAAGACATGAAACATCCTCCACAACTGAACCGGGCACCCAAGTCCAAGCAATAGCTAAAGTTAGCTGACATTTGCAAATTTAGTTTTGAAGTCAGTACGTATTTTGGGTCAGCACAGCAATAATAGAACTCCTGGCAGACAGAGAAACATGAAATTACCTTATGAAATGTTGACTGCTGTATTCCACCAGCACACGAGTATAACCACAACCACCCTGGAGGAATCCATCTCCTGCTGTTCCAGCAATTAACATTTCACATTCCAAGACAGGATCAAATCTGCACTGGCAACATGAGTACATCGCCCCAGCCCACCTATCTAGTACAGACACAGGTCGTATGAGCTATTCTATACAACATAATTTGCAAAACCAACACCCGCAAACAAGAAGGCAGCA